AACAATGAGGACACTAAGAGAGACTTACCTAGATCTAATCTACATGGGAAGTAGAAAGTATAAAAAGACAAGATCTCCTGAGTAAATTGGGAGCATGGGGACCTTGGGGGAGGGTCAAAGAGGGGACAGGAGAGGCAGGGACCCGGGGAGCAGAGAAAAATGTAGAACTCAATAAATATCAATTTTAAAAAGGGGGGGCTAATTATGTAGTATACTACCTCCCAATGCTGGGATTAAAGGAATGTGCTACCATGTCCAGTCACAATGACTTGATTGGTAAATTGATTGGTCTCTTTACTAGCAAAGAGCACCCCCTTAATAAGGTGAGACCTAAAAAGGTGCATTTCTTTAAATGAGCACAGAAAAGATTAAAGAAGTGTTTGGCATAGAAGATAGTTATAAAAAGGAGACACACCTGAATATGATGCCTCAACAGACTCATTTATTTTATACTCATATCCAGGATGGCCACAAATTTGCTATGTGGCAAAGATGATCTCGAACTGTCCTCCAGTTATTTAAACTATTTTTGTTTTTATCACTTTTTTGTTTGTTTGTTTGTGTTTTGTTTTGTTTTTTGAGATGGGGTTCTCTATGTAGCTTTGGTGCTAGAACTCACTCTGTAGCCCAGACTGGCCTCAAACAGAGATCCACCTGCCACTGTTTCCTGAGTGCTGGGACCAAAAGCATGTGACACCACTGCCTGGCTTTTTAAACTATTTTATGCCATTTTGAGGGATGTAACCTGTGGATGTCCTGCCCTGAATCAGTGTTCACACAAGGACACTGACAAAATGTTTAATATGTACTCTTATCATTTATCAGGCTCAACTCCCCTCCCCTTATCCCATGAGGTTTATTGCAGAATTTGGTTCAAATAAACCAATGGTGTTCTGAGTGGGTTTACTAAAAGTCCTAAATCTTTTGTATCTGGCCTGCTTACGATCTAATAATGCTGTTTGCCTTCTGTAAGAATCCTTTTGAGTCCGTCTACAAGAATTCTTGACCCACAATGTTTCCTGTTAGTAATTTTCCATCTAGTATATGTAATAACAAGAAGAGAGTAAATCAGCAGCACTGTTTGGGAAAGGATGCTGCCATACAGTCACCTCTCAGGAATCAGGTTCATTAAGAGAACAGGCCTCAAGACCATGATAGGTCACTGAGAAGGATAGAAATGCTGTAATTTTATGAGAAAGTCGGCATGATGGGAGCTTAAGGAAGGAGGAGCGCCTTAAGAGGAATGGAAAGAAAAGGCCTGCCTGGGAATCAGAGTCTTCTGAAGCGTGGACAATATCCGAACCACTGAGTAACTCCCCCAGCCACACATAACAGAGTAGATACCAGTATCAGGGCTTCACTGTAAGACACTGCAGTATCAGTTGTCATTCCAATGTCATGGCACTTCTTGTTTTGAGATGGGGTCTCTCTATGTAGCCCAAGTTGGCCTTGAATTCATGACTCTACGGCTTCTATCTACGGAGTGCTTGGGAAAAGGTATGTGCCACCACACTCTACTTCCTTACTACGTTTAATGTGGGTTATCAGATGAACAAGTTAAATGTGATTCTACCTAATACAGAAGAGGAAGTATATATGAAAATATATGTGTTGGTCTCAAATATGAGGGGATTTTACTTCTCAAATTATTTTAATATTTATGAGCTTTGTATAGAGAAAGACTATATCATCATTACATATTTAGTTCAGGTCTACTATAAGACAGAAATCGAAATTTCATTATATCAGGAAGAGGAGGTAAGAAAATAAAGAAAGTAAAAGACAAAAAGATTTCTGGAAAATGAATTGCTCACTTCAACTAAACTTGTTTTACTTAAACAATTTTTATATTAGCTCACTTTAAACAGCACACAAAGAGAAATTTTTACAAATGAAATCGATGCCATAAGACAGATGAATCAGATGAATGAAACCACTCACCTAGCAAGTTGTGCAAGTTCTTTTTGGGTCAGAGGACTTCCTTGTTTACATAACAAGTTTTTAAGTAAAAGCAGTCTCGTCTGAAAAATAAGTATTAAAGAATTACCAAAAGGGCCCAATTTGATAAGAGAATTATAAAAACTGGTCAGTGTTATTTAATAAACTAAGAATTAGCTTAATGTAATATTCCAGAATCAAGTCCTGATTCTTGATCTTAGGCATTATTTCTTCCTGTTAAATACAACAAAAACTATTTGTGAGAATTAATGAGGGAATTTCTGAAGACTGTCCAGATACAGCACTGTTACTGTACTATCAAGTGGCCACTGTTACTATCAAGGGTGCTAAGTGCCTAAACTAGAAAACTACAGTTTTTTACAAAGACTTATTTATTTTTATTTTGGATGAATGAATATTTGCTCAAATGTATGTATGTGTACTGCCTGTGTGTCCTATGCCTACAGAAGCCAAAGAAGGGATCTGATCCTCTGAACCTGCTATTATAGATGCTGTAAGCTGCCATGTGGGTTCTGGGAACCAAGCCCACACAGGTAAGAGCAGAGAGTGCTCTCAACTGCTGAGTCATCTCTCCAGCTCCAATAAATACAATGTTTTCAAAAAGGTATATTGACATATAATTTTATATAGCAAAAATTCCATACATTATAGGTATTAATTCAAATTACTTTTAACTATACAGAATTATAAAGTCATCACCATAATAACATTTTAGAACATCTGTCACTCCTGGAAGCTCACTCATGCCTCTTTGCAATTAATCCCTACTCCTATCTCCTCTCCTATCTAACCACCATCTGACTGTATCTTTAGAAATCTGTCTTTTCTAATTATTTCATCTAAAAGGAATAAAATCAGGGCAAGGGAGATAGATCAGTGATTAAGAGCACTAGCTGATCTTCCAGAGAACCAAAGTTTGATTCCCAGCACCTACATGGCAGCTCATAACTATCTGAGAAACTCCACTTTCAGGGGATCTGATCTCTTCTGGCCTGTCTGGGGCCCAAGTGCACATGTGGTACACAGACATACAGTAGACAAAGAACACACAATTGTAAAGAAAAATAAGTAAATAAATAAAACAATAAAATAAAATCATATATTACTAGTTTGCATATGGCTCCTCTTCCTTTTTAAAAAATTGTTAATATTAATGAATGTACTATATACAGCTGATGAATTTTTTTTTCAGTCCTGTGGATCAAACCCCGGGCCCTATACATATTGGACAAATGCTCTACTTCTAAGCTATATCCCAAGCCCTATAAAATTAAATAATAAATTTGTGAACTAAATAGCACTCATTAACTGGATATGTCACATTGTTTATACATTAAGCAACTGAATTACTTTTCTTGCAGGCTGAGGCTATTGTTAGGACAGCTGTCTAATACTGTTGGTATGTCTTCCTTCTTTGGAGAAGTCTCCACTTCTCTTGGATAAATGTTCAGGAATTGCTGGGGCTTATTTAAATTTATGGTTATTGTTTTAAGAACCTGACAAACTTTTTTTGTTTTTGTTTTTCGAGACAGAAGCTTTTATTTTTAAGATTTATTTTATCTTATGTGTATGGATATTTTGTACCTGCATGTATGTCGGATCTCCTGGAACTGGAGTCACAGTTGTGAACACCCAGTGGGTGCTAGCAATTGAAACCTGTCCCTCGGAAGAGCAACCAGTCAGTGCTATTAACAGCTGAACTATTTCTCCAGCCCCAACAAACTGTTCTCAAAATTGCTATACAATATTGTCAGGATGATACTTGCTTTTACTTCAATAAAAAACTGAAATATAAATATACATACCTCCTCATTTGGTAAAGACACATACACCCGTTTAATGAAACGCCTAAAAAAAATCAAATTAGAAATACAAATATGAAGTTATAGGTAATCCAGCTCAAATAACAACTAATAGAAAAAGCTGTAAATATAATACCTAAGGCGATTAAAAGTTCTTTCTGATTATTAATACAAAAAGATATTTTTACTTTTTTTAGTGTGGGTGGTACACCTGCAATTGAGCCTATGACCTCACACATGCTAGACAACCCCTTTTCTGCTGGCCCTTTCATATTTTATCTTAAGATATATTCTCATTAAGTCGCCCAGGTTGTCCCTGAATATAGTAAAGAAAGGCCTTGAACTTGTGGTCCTCCTGCTTTAGCCTTCCAAGTAGCTTGGATCACAGGGCTTTGGCTCCAGGCTTAGTTGTTATTTTTTTCAAACTCTCTAGTTAATGCTTTAAAATCTTTAATTTAGTAGATGGTTAAATTAAGTCTGTCATTTTGTATGTGTAAATTAATCGCAACAATATTTTAAATCAAATAATATCTGGAATAATAAGCAGAATAAGGAGTCTTCTAAATAACAACTAAAAAGAACAAAGATCACAGAAACAGAAACGTTCATTTCATCATTATTGATTACGTTTTAATTTACAAAGCTTTACTGTGTGGAACAGCTGAGCAGTGCTCACACAGCATCTAATCCAGATGATTTTATGAACTATAATAGGCATTTTGGACTTATTTTTACACTTTTTGACAACTGTACATTTATTTTTAATACTAAAAAAATTTAATTATTATTGGCAAGTACAGCTGAATTTCATCTTAACCCACAGTACTTCATGACATTTAAATAAAGGGAATGTAAGTATCTGGGCCCAAAGTTGCTCCAGTTAGGTTGGCCGTTTGCAGGGTGGACAGTGACCTCAGCCACCTAACACCTGGGGGGCACAGTATGGTGATGCCAGGGCTAAAATAATTAAATAATGGGGAAAAAGTATATAAATATAAATGTTTGTCTCCATTCTACAGGGAATGGAGACAAGAGAATTTGGAGTTTAAGGCTTTGAATACAACAGTGAGCCCAAGCAAAACCTGGGCTACATAAGATCCTATTTTAAAAAGTCAAAGATTTAAAATAATAATAATAATTAATAATAATAATTTTTAAAAATCAACACTCAGGAGGCAGAGGCAGGCAGATCTCTAACTTTAAGGTTGAACTGATCTACAGAGTGTGTTCCAGGACAGCCAGGGCTACACCGAGAAACCCTGTCTCAAAAAAACAGCAAAAGAGAAACAGGACTGATGGTCAGTGAGTAAAAGTGCTTGGCACTAAGCTTGGTGACCTTAATTTGATTTTCTACACCAAGTAGCGCAAAGAGTCAGAAGATTCTGGAAGGGTGTCCTCAATTTCCATTGACATGCCTGTAGAGGCCCCTATCCCCCCCCAAAAAAAATTGGGGTAAAAAAAAAAAGAATGAGTCAGGCAGTAGTAGCACACACCTTTAATCCCAGCACCCAGGAAGCAGAGGCAGGCGAATTTCTTTAAGTTTGAGGCCAGTCTGGTCTACAGAGTGAATTCCAGGATAGCCAGGGCTACAAAAATTAACCTTGTCTTAAAGCAGGGGGAAAAATGATGGTAAGAACTGATTTTAGACTTTAAAGTTAATGCAATGTAAAAGAAATGGTTGATCTAAATGTAGTATGTAGACAATAGTTTTAATACTGTCCTAGGCATGATCCTAGGACATTGATATAGTCGGCAACACTAGGAAGTGGACAACACATGGGGAAAATCATTTACTCTTAAAGCTGTGAGTGCAGAATATCCGAGGTTGGTGAGATGAACCTGGGTGGTGGTGGCGCACTCCTTTAGTTTCAGCACTGAGAAGGCAGAAGCAGGCAGATGGCTGTAGGTTCCAGGCCAGTCAGGGTTACACATTGTGACCTTGACATCCTCTACTCAAAAGAAAAAAAAAAGAGAGAGAGAGACAGGAGAGATGAACACAAGAGATGAATCTGTCATAAACATATCTCACTACCTGAGAACGGCTTCATCAAGCTCTTGGGGCCTATTAGTTGCACCCATTACAAGTACTCTGTCATCTCCAGCAGATTGCACCTGCAAGCCAAAAAGTTTTGTCAGTATTTTAGATAAAATAAAAAGAAAAACTATATATACATGTATTGATAGTTTGGGTCATTTAGTAGGAAAGTATATATATTAAAATACTGTCAAAGTAAAAAAATATAATCAGTGGTTCGAAAGATGGCTCAGAGGTTAAGAGCATTTCTTGCTCTTGCAGAAGACTTGAATTTCAGTTCCCAGCACCTACATGGCAGCTCAAAACCACATGTAACTCTAGTTTTGGGGGATTTTATGTACTCTTCCGGCTTCAGTAGGCTTCTGAACACATATACATATACAGCGCACAAAACCTCATGCAGGTAAACGCACAAAATATAGATAATTTTTTTTTCTTTTTCTTCTGTTTTTGAGACAAGGTTTCTCTGTAGCTTTGGAGCCTGTCCTGGAACTAGTTCTTGTAGACCAGGCTGGCCTCGAACTCACAGAGATCCGCCTGTCTCTGCCTCACGAGTGATGGGATTAAAGGCATGTGCCACCACCATCTGGTCGATAAAATAAATCTTAAAATATATATGTGTGTGCACATATATAGAGATTACCAATACTTACACCATCAAATTCTATTAAAAATTCAGTTTTTAGTCGTCTACTAGCATCGTGCTCCCCTTCTCTTCTTTCACACAAAAGACTATCAACTTCATCTAGAGGAAATGCAAAGGTGAGGGTTTAAGAGCAATCTAAGTAAACCATCTAATATCCATCCAGTTTGTACTTATTAACAGACCTACTGAACTCATTCTTTAAAATGCTGTCCTTCTGAATAGCTTTTTGAGCAAAATTCTCAGACTTAGAAAGTGGAATTTCATAAATGTTCAACTAAGTTGGGAAAATACTTACCTATAAAAATTATAGATGGCTGAAGTTCTCGAGCCACAGCAAAGAGAGCTCTCACCAACTTCTCTCCTTCTCCCACCTACAAATAATGCATGCTTAACACACTTAAATGCAACAGTATTCCAGTTTTTATCATGATTTAAAATTTAACTTCATGACCTTATGATAAGAATGTGTAATTTTAGAAACCACACTATTTGCTTTTTAAAGGTTAGTGGAAAATATTTCACAATCTTACAGTGCACCAGTTCCATTCTTACTAGTTATAAACATTAAAGACAGATCTATTCATTTTGTGTGCGTGTGTGTACGAATGCGTATGTGTGTTGTGAATGCACAGTACCACCATCTTGGTGCTCTCTTTTTTTGAGAATGGGTCTCTCAGTGGCCTACAGTTCAATAAGTCAACTATGCTGGGCTGACCTATAAGGCCCAAAGATTTGGTTGTCTTCACCTCCCCAGTTGGAATCACAAGGACAGGCTGCCATGCCCAACCTATTTCGTGTGGATTCCAGAGGTCAAACTTAAGATTCTCACACTTGTACAGCAAAAGCATTTTTGACTGAGAAAGGTCCCAGTTCTCCTTAAACCCTGCATGTTCGGCTGCACTACTCCCAAATTGGACTGAACTCTTCTTTGAATACTACCGGAGTCAGCGAAAGGAAAATTAGAAATCTAAACTGTGATATAAAGAATTAAAAACAAAACCAAACAAACAAAAAAACAGAAACGCCAGGCATAATAGCATATGCCTTTAATACCAACAGAGGCAGGTGGTTCTCTGTGAGTTCAAGGCCAGCCTGGTCTCTCTCTCTATAGTAAGTTTCAGAACAGACAGGGCCACATACAGAGACTCTGTCTCAAAAATGAAAACAAACAAAACCAAGAGAAGACTTACATTGTATTTTAATTTGGAGTGAAAGAGCAGAGAATATTCACTTTACTGTAAGTCCTGTTCTCACATATGGTAGCTCTCTAGATAGCCAATTAGGGAGCCTAGGTAGAAGTGATGGTATTTAGTACAGCCTGAATTATGTTGCCCCTAAACACGCTACAGCACTAGCTCTAGTAGCTATGAGACTCTATTTTTGTAAGGAAATAGAATCCTTACAGATTGCCAAATTAAGTTGATCATTAGGGTGAGCCCTACTCTAATGAAACTGTATTCTTACAATACTCGGAAATTACAGAAATTGTCATGTGAAAACACAGAAATATGAATCTGCAAGCCAAGAACTACCAGGAATTATCAGCACACCAGAAACTAGAGACTTAAAATACAATCACTGCTGTGGCTCCCAGAAGATATTATTACTGCTAACACTTAGGTCTTGGGATGTGCAACCTCCCAAGGATGCATTCCCACATCTTATTTATTTGTGCAATACATTTCCAGAATTTGATCCAAGCAGGTTTGGCCTTTTTTTAACCTAGGACCTACTATGACAGTATTCAACAACATAATTCTAATTTTAAAATAGCTTAAAAGTGCACAAAATTTTGTACCTTGAAGAGTTAATATTCATTATACATAAGCATACAGTCATAAAACTCATGGAAAATGTTTTTGTAATGTTGCTATCATTTTATTTAAATAGCACTTAAGAGTAACTTAAAAATATGATAATATGGGGAAAGGAACACTTACATATTTTGAAGTTAAACTTGCAGCACTTATATTGAAAAAGGTGGCATTAGATTCTGCAGCTACTGCTTTAGCCTTTAAGATCAGAAGAGTAAATGTTAGTTTAACATCCTGATTTCTTTTAAAAGCAGCTACATATGATCACAGAAGTACCAGATATGTGATGTGACTCTCAGCATCAGCTAGAACAAGCCTACACACTATTTTCCCAGAGAACTAGGAAGGAGTTCTCTTCTCTTTGGCAGGAAGATACTGGCCAGAGAAAGTTAAACAGGCAAGGAAAAACTTATTCTATTCCTGTTGGGTTTTGTGTTTGAGACCACATCTCACTATGCAGCCATGGCTGGCCTGGAATTCACTGCAGACTAGGCTGGCCTTGAACTCAGAGTTATTTTCCCACCTCTGCCTCCTCAGTGCCACCATGCCTTTAATATCTATTTGGTTTCATAGTTCAGAAGAATGATGCAGATATAGGTATTCAGATTCTGGTAAAAAACTACAAGAAAGCCAACAGCAAACTAACGGTCAAAGAAACTTGTTAAGATGGACAAATTCTAAGTGTCATTAGACAGATCCTCGGTATAGTAAAGAAAGCTCTTCCTCAAAATAAAGCAAAAAACATGCTATGAAGAGTCACATACAGTTTTCCATTTATTTTTGCATGAAAACTCAAGAAGTATATTACAACAATAAGTAATAAATAACAGACTCGGGAACAATATAGAACTACTTTTTCCATATGATTTCTAGCATCTCAATAGAACCTTCAACCTTGACAGCAGTCTTACCAGCATTGTCTTTCCGTTTCCGGGTGGACCGAAGAGTAACAACCCTCTGGCCGGAGCTCTGAGCCCTGTGAACAACTTATCAAACAAACACTGGTTACAGCCATGATCCTAGAGAGCTGATCCAGACATGCCAAGTATCTATCATTTGTCATCTAATAATATCTTTCTTTGGGGAGTAAGATAAGGTGGGGTGTGACAGGGTCTCACTATGTATGCCTGGCTGGCCTAGAACTCATTATATAGGCCAGGCTATCCTCAAACTAAGGGATCTGCCTGCCTTTGCCTCTAAGGCTGGGATTAGGTGTGTGCCACTCAACAGGCCTTAAAGTTCTCTTTATACTTGCAATTGTATGATTCCTCTTGTAACAAGCTTTCTTTTTTTGTTTGTTTGTTTTTTGTTTCTCGAGACAGGGTTTCTTTGTAGCTTTTGGAGCCTGTCCTGGAACTTGCTCTTGTAGACCAGGCTGGCCTCGAACTCACAGAGATCCACCTGACTCTGCCTCCCAAGTGGTGGGATTAAAGGCGTGCGCCACCACCGCCCGGCTGTACAAGCTTTCTTTACATTTAGATCCAGTCTATTGTATTATCATTCAGTCTCTAAACTATTACCTATGTCTTGCCCTGTAGCTCACTCTATAAGCTACAGTATGCTCCCCAAGGGGCCCTATCTGGGCACAGGATATAACTTTGATTCATAAAAGACACATGGTTTTCTCTCTTAACTCCCATTTTATGAGTATTAACAAAAATATAACTACCAGTCAAACTGTGATTTCATGACCTGGAACGGTAAGTACTAACTGAAAAAAACTTAAACAGACAAAACTGAGCATGGTGGTGAGTGCTCACATCTTGGATGAAGAGGCTGAGGGAAGAGAGAACTACTTAAGCCCATAATTTCAAGACCTGCTTGGGTAACATTCTGAAACCTCATCCAGAAGAAAAGCAAGAAAGTAAAAGGGAAATGAAAAGATACAAGCTGGAAAAAACATCATACAATCATCCACTTTCCACATGAAAGTTAAAAATGGATTCAGTATTTCTTAAATTCATTCTCATCTTCTATAACAATTTATCAATAGCAAATGTGAACGCCTTTTGTGGGGGAGGAGTAAGACAGGCCATGCTATGATATATAGCCCTGACTGGTCCAGAATTCACTGTGGAATCAACAGTGGCCTCAAGCTCAAGACTATCTTGCCTCAGCCTCCTCAGCTGGATGCTTGGTACATACCCAGGCTTTAATGTTTATATTTTTTAAAATAGTGAACTTGAATTATTTAATATGAATGAATTGTTTGATACCATAAAATCCTTACCTCGGGCCGTAGAGAAGGAAGAATAACAATTTCTTGCAGTGCTTGTTTGGCCAATTCCTGACCAGCTATGTCATCAAATTTAACAGCTGTCCCACTAAAAACAGAACATCAGTTAATTTCACAACAGAAATATGGTTCAGCTATTTCATGTAGCGTATAAGCCTAACACGGCCATTTTTATGTTAACTATGAAACTTGTTTACTAGCAAAAACCTTCAAAACTACCATAAAAATTAAAGATGAAAGTAAATGAAATATTATATATCACACATATGTATTTTATAAGTAAAAATAAGAGAGAAATGAATTGCGTAGAAAAACTTACTTGTCAACAATTTCATTCATTATGAGGTTCGCCAAGTTGCTGTCCACATTCCTAAAATTTTTCAAGTCTTTCTTCTTCCGAACAGCCGTTGTGGGTGTAGAAGGTTTGTTGGTTCTATTTGGTTTTGGAGTACCCTTGAAGGACACAAGAACTTAATGTGAAAACAACCTAGACTTTTCACTCATAAATCATCCTAAAATGTTGATAGAATTTAATAAAAACGGGGGGGAAATGAAGCTGGGGAGATGCTCAGTGAAATGCTTGCTACACAACAGTAAGAACCTGAGTTCAAGTCCCAAGCACTCGTGTAAGCCAGGCACGTAGTCCGTCTGTAACCCAGCTTGTGGGAGCAGGAAGAAGCAGATTGCTGGAGCTCACAGGCCAGCTGTTCTAGCAGAGTGTGTGAGTCCCAGGTTTGACATGAAAAGTGACTGAGCAAGTAGTCTGAGGTCTCCCTCTGGTCTCCACACACAGGCAAACACAAAGAAAAAAAATCTAAGACTGCAAAGACTGATTATTTAACCTAAAACTACCTTCACTATAGAATGACATATGACATGAAGAAAGCTAATAGATTTTATCCAGAGATTCAGTTACTATTAAAGACAAAGCTGAGACAGAGAACTGGCTCAAGAGTTAAGAGATTTTACTGGAAATTCATGAGGAATGGAGTGCGGATGTCACCATGCACATAACATGCCAATCATCCTGTACATGCCTGTAACCTCAGTTCCGAAGGCAATGGAAACCAGATGATTACCAGGGCCTGTAGACTTTCAGCCAAGAATAAATAAGCTCTAAGTTCAAAGGTGGACTCTTCCTCAAAGGAATAGGCAGTCACGCAGTGCTCTCTGGCCTTCAATTACATGTATATACACTTACACACACCCACACACCCCTTTTTTAAAACCCAAAGACTCTCTAGGAAAAGTCATCTTTGATTCTTATTGGAATTACAACAAAACTCTAGGAATGTTTAATGTTCTAAAATTTACATAATCTAGCTGGTCAGTGGTGGTACATGCTTTTAATCCCAGCACTCAGGAGGCAGAAGCCAGAGGATCTCTGTGAGTTTGAGGACAACCTGTTCAATAGAGTGAATTCTAGGATAGCCAAGTCTACACAGTAACCCTGCCTTGCAAAAGCAAAATAAACAAATAATAAAATTTACATAATCTGAAATGATCCTAAAACTAGAATTAAAATGACATATACAACATTATACTGAAAAGACTTCCTAAGTAAACAATATAAAATTTCTAACTATTCTGAAAGGAACTAAGATTTTAATAGCAAATAGTTTTTGCAAATTAGAAAATTATATTTCCCTTTGTGGAAACCACTCGAGTCTATAAGGCATTACAGAGAAAACTCATACACTAAAGCAAGCATGACAAAGCACATTGCACCCCTGTTCTGGAGTACCTTATGCGTGGAAGCTGCAGGACCAGGACCCTGCCTTGCTCCAGAAACCATGGACAAACCACTGCAACTAGGTGCCCTGTGGTGACCAGAAAGGCCTGTGGATCCACTTTTCATGACTGTTTTTGATCGAGGCAGTGAATTACTAGCATGTGTTAGGGGATCTTTCCTCTTTGGAACTGCTCCACTTTCTGTCAAGGAAAAAGTATAGCCATCATGATTAAAAACTTTGACTATGCAGATAAAAAGTAATAATAACAATTTATAATATTAGCAACAATAAAAAGTAATACTAACAAATTTGCAAAACAAGGTACCAGCAGTTTAAAATTTGTATTTATTATTATTGTGTTTATGTGTATATGATGTTTGAATGAATGTGGATGCACATATATCACAGTGCACATGCAGAAGTCAGAGACAAGTTTCTGACTTTGGTTCTCACCTTCCACCATGTGGGTGGCAGGGGTCAAACTCAGGCCATCAAGCTTGTGCAGTAGGTACCTTTATCAGCTGAGCCATCTCACTGGCCCTTAACAAGGGTTTTTAAATCCAGAAGTATTTTAAAATAAGATCTGAGTCAGAAATAAACGAGGATGTCATGGGACTGGTTACTGGGAAAAGACATTTGTTTATTAGGTTTGCCCTTCCCTGTTGTAGATTCTAATTTTCTTATGAGGAAAATTGTATTTGTAAATAGCCAGGCGGTGGTAAGCATACCTTTAATCCCAGTACTTGGGAGGCAGAGACAGGAGGATCTCTATGAGTTCAAGGCCAGCCTCGCCTACAGAGTGAGTTCCAGGATAGGCTCCAAAGCTACAAAGAAACCCTGTCTTGAAAAAAGGTAAAAATTAATAAAATTTTAAAAAATCAGTGCTTATTAATAATGATGTTTGCTGTAAAGACAAATGTTAAGCCAGGCAACTAGGGAGGCTTCAACTATAATGTGAGCACTCTTGAGACTGAGCCAGGGAAGATTTCTGTGAGTTCAACAATAACCTGGGTTATGTGAGTTCTAGGTCAGTGTAGGCTACAAAGTGTGAAATTATGCTTAAGAAAAAAAAAAGCTAGCAGGGCATAGTGGTGCACGCCTTTAATCCTTTAATCCCAGCACTTGGGAGGCAGAGGCAAGTGAATTTCTGTAATTCCCAGGTCAGCCTTGTCTGTACAATGAGTTCCATGACAGCCAGAGCTACATAATAGAGGGACCTTGTCTCAAAGATCAGAGAAGCCAGGTGGTGGGGTACGCCATATTTCAAAAAATCTAAACAAAACAAACAAAAAACAATAAACCAATAACAGAGAGACAAAAAAGGCTGGTCATGGTGACACAATCTCCTTAATCCTAACACTCAGCAAGAAGAGACAGGAGGATCACTGCAATCTCCAGGACAACTGGTATGCCCCCAAGTTCTAAATTGGTCAAAACTTACATAGCAAGACCCTCTCTTGCACGTGGTAGTGGTGGAGCACACCTTTAATCCCAGCACTCAGGTGGATCTCTGTGAGTTTGAGGCCAGGCTGGTCTACAGAATGAGTTCCAGGACAGCCAAAGCTACACAAAAAACACTTGTTGAAATATTCAACAGACTTTTCTGTGAAGCAGCATATTCCGAAGGGCTGCCCCACCTTGTCTTGATAATGTTTGACAGTCACTTTCTTTTGCGTTCTTCTTGTCTAATAAGGACAGCATACTGTCAGCAGTTGAGGCAGGGGCATTTTCTTGTTTAGTGGCTGGCTTACTTATGCCACAAAGAAAGTAAACTCCATTTGGAGTTTCTACAATGTACATTATCTTTTCTGAAGTAAATTGGTACTTTTCCTGGAACTAGTTAGCACTCTATATAACCATTAATATCATGGCAAAAAGTTTAAAGTATATGCATATATTAATCTTGTAAATCTTATACCTTAAGAAAAGCTGTTAAAGAGTCAACATAAAACCAAAGGATTATGAGATTAGTGGCAATAAATAGCCCTTAAATATTTCTTTTTCTTCTGTCCCTTATCAGGTGGCTCTTCTGACATGAGACAGAGATTTTGATTTTACTTTAATAAGTAAAATAATTATTTTATTTAATAAATTTAATGCTTGGATTTAGAGAAGGAGAGAGACACACTCCAACTCCAAAGCCAGCTTTAATCTTTAATTGGATTGGAATTACAAAAGATCTTATGTATTATGTCAGTAGAGAATAGCAGAAACAAACATTTGGGAAACTTTGTGAAATTTTATCCTGTTCAAAATGTGATATACCAATAGCCAATTTATTTTTTCTTGAGACATTTTTTTTTTTTCTGGATGATTTGCCCTTTTTCTAGTGGCTTTCAGATTCCTATCCTGAATCCCTTTATTCTCCTGCAAAGACAGAAATAAAACCCCTTTCCAACCTTAATTTTGGGGAGGTTCTTCTTTGGCAAGTTATATCTGATCAAATGGAAAGTATTTGTTAATTTTATAGGTTAGTTTAAACACCATACTATTTGATGAACTATCATCTCTTCTAATGAAAAGGTATCTCTTGTTCAAATCAAATCTTTATCAAATTTGATGGTATTCATAGCTTTTCTTCTGCGGAACCAAAAGCAAAACCCATTCCCCAACATAACACATTTCCTGATTTCCATTCTGAGGTCAGAACATCTTTAAAGCACATTAGCTGATTTAACTCCATAGTCTTTTCTACTAGCCAATGTCTTTCCACAGCCGTTGCTCCTTTCTCATTGGCATTAAAAATTCAAAGTTAATAAAGCATTATGCAATCTAATTCAGGGGGTATTTATCATTCCTTTCTGTTTATTTAATATATCCTTTAGAGTTTGATATGGTCTGTCTATAATTGCCTGGCCTATAGGACTATGTGGTATACCTGTAATATTCTTTATATTATAATAAGCAAAAATATGCTTCATTCTCTTAGAGGCATAAGCTGGAGCATTGTCTGTGTTTATTTGAACAGGTATACCCATGACAGCCATAACTTCCAGGAAATGTGTGATTACTGAATCAGCCTTTTCCAAACTCAAAGCAATTGGCCACTGAAACCTGAAAAGGTATCAATGGTGTGGTGTACATATTTCAGTTTTCCAAATGGAAAACATCCATTTGCCAGATTTCATTCCTTTGAGTACCCTTTGGGTTACCTCCTACAGGTAGTGGTACTTGGATATAGAAAGAACACGGAGGACATTTCCTTATAATTTCCTTGGCTTGGTGCCCAGGGATGTAAAAGTCTTTTTTTACATCATTGCTATTAACATGTTTTTAATGAAATTCTGAGGCCTTCTAACCAATAATGGTCAATTTCTGCATTATCTTGTGCTAGAGAATTGTATCTTGTAACAGAATAAATAACAAAGTCATTTCTGTATCATCTGGTATAAATTCAGCAGTTTCAATACGAAAAACAACTCTTTCTGCATATTGTGAATGGGTAACTATGCTGAGAGGTTCTTTAAAATCCTTTAGTATTATGAGAATAGCACATAATTCTGACTTTTGGGCAGAATCATAAGGGCTTTGATCCACTTTAATTTTTCTGATGTGTAACCTGCCTTTCCTGATTTATTTGCATCAGTATAGAATGTAGGGGCTCCACCCATTGATGTGTCCCATACAATCAGAGGAAGGATTCAATTAGATCGCTTTATAAGTTGCACTCTCTTGCTTTTGGGAGAGCTGCTGTTTATTTCTCCCAAAAGATTACTACAAACTCTTTGCCAGGGTTCACTTTCTGCCCCTAATTTGTCAATGTCATCGTTATTAAAGGTACTATAATTTTGCTGGGTCAATTCCTGCTAAATGACAAAGTCTCAATTTTCCTTTTAGAATTAACTTAGAGAACTTTCCACATAAGTTTTTAATTTTTTACTCAGTTATGTAGTAAAAAGATCTAAAAAAAATCTTCCCTCTGCGTTAGTTCCCTTGCAGCTCAGTCATGCCCTTCCTTGACATAGCCGTCTCCTATTCTAGTGTGTAGAATATGAAAGGCTGTGCGCCCAACGATTGAGATCTATTGTGTAATACTTGGAGCTTTATCGGGGCATTTCCTAGATGAACTGTTAGTTGAAGGTGTGGTGGTGAAGGATGCAGTGAATGCTACTACAGTTTTGTACCTGCTAATGGCACATCTGAAGTTGAGATGACCTCCAGGGTTGTCAAGGAAACAAAGGCAAATACCAGTCCAGTGACGGCAGCAAGCAGTGTTTCAGTGCTACGAAAAATTTGACCTGTAGTATAATTATGAAAGTTGTGTTTTCTAAAGGAGTCTTGGGGATCCAGAAGAATGTGCTTTTGAGAATCCCAGGCTTTAAAAATGCTTACTTCTGAGCCGGGAGGTGGTGGCACACGCCTGTGATCCTAGTACTTGGGAGGCAGAGACAGGTGAATCTCTGTAAGTTTGGGGTCTGACAGCCAGAGAAACTCAGTCTCAAAAAAACACAACAAACAAAAACACATTAGCAGCTGCTTCACTGCCTAACCTAAAGTTAGTATGCTACAATTTAAAGTTTTATTTGCTCTAATAAAATTTAAGTCCAAATCTGGGTGGCATATGTCTATAATCAGTCATTCAGGAGTCTGAGACAGGAGCCCACAGCAGCCCAAGCTACACAGTAACTTCTAGCATGGGCCACCAACTAAAATGTTGTCTCAAAAAACACAACCAACTACCCTGGATATAAAACCACTTCTGAAAAAACAAAAAATAAAACAAAACCAGCAACCAAGCAAACTACCTGAGGTACAGGGAGCACGGGGTGTTTTTGTAGAATGCATGAGGTGTCACCACTAACACTGCAAAATCAAACGAAACCCACACAAAAACGAGCTGAGACTGGGAAAGCCTAGAAAATGAAGTTTCTACCACTGGAAAAAAGCAAAAAGCATTTAATTTCTTCTTTCTGTATTTAATCTTCTAAAGGATTTGATCAGCAAAGTTTCAAGGAAGACTTACTCCACAGTAATAATACTATTAGAATTTATCTTCTTAATATGTCAAGTTCCAGTTTCTAACAAGTACCAAAGAGATTCATATAATACATATGAAAACTGATACACAGTAAAAATTAATGTTTGAGAAAATATTAAGATTTTCATGTTAAAAACACAAAAAGAAAAATCCCACAAACAAAATACAACAGAAACAAAAATAATTATTTAAAGGAACTTGTACAGCCTGGCTGTGGTGGTACACAACTTTCAGTGTAGTACTTGATGAAGAGGTAAGCAGATCTCTGAGGTGAACTAGCCTAGTCTATGTAGAGAGTTCCAGGTCAGCCAGGGCTACACGGAATTATGTACAAATATGGTGCAATACATTTGTAATTCCCATACTGGGGAAACAGAGGCATGAACACTGATGAATTTTGGAAGTTAAAGGACACCTGGTCTATATAGTAAGTTCCAAGTCAGGCAAGGCTACATAGTAAGACCCTGTCCCAAATAACAAAAAACAAAAACAATATTAGCAACAACAAGAAGAGCAAATCATGTTTTCTGAGATGGCACAGTGGGGAAAGGCACTGGCTACCAAGTTTGACAACTTGAGTTTAATCCCAAGGACATACATGGTACTAGGAGAGAATCCCTTCTTTCAGTTGTCCTCTGACCTCCAAATGTGTTCGCAAACACATACACAAACACATACACGCATACATGGATTTATATTGTTTTTCTAAAAGAACAGGTTTACTGAGTACAATTGAAGAGCCAGTGGGCTAGACAGTAATGAGAGTACCACCTCCCCATCTTTTGTACTTTACAAGTAGGAAGCTGGAAAACATGTGACTAGGTATATTTAGAATAGCTCTACTGTATCTACTATGAATGATAAGGATTCTGTATGTTTTACTAATCCTGTGAAAACAAAACAATTATACCTTCTACTACACAGCTAAGCCAACATTATAGGGTAAGCAAGAGTTCATTTTCCATGCAAGCTTTAGTTTACGTTAGTTAGCCTAAACCTACCTGACTGGAGGTGTCCATTGCGGCATGTCAGGTTAGTACTGTCATTATAGACGTCCGTTTGTGACTTGGAAAATTGCAAAACTGGTTGCAGCTTCTCTATGCAACAGAGGAGGTTAAAAAAGAACAAAATAAACAAAAAGAAAAATAAACAAATAAAAGGCATGTGGAAAATAAAAATTATTGTGTTACAAAGCTGTCAGTGAAGTTTTTGCACATATATGAAATATACTCTAAAATATGTAATTAGTAAAAACTCATATGAAAAGTACAGAAGTTAACACGTGGAAGGCTATGTTGAAAATATACCTTATTCAGGCTGGTAACCTAAGACAGTTACTTATCAGTATTTTCAACAGCAAGTGAAGGCTGCTTTTCATATGCTCAAATCAATAAGATAATCTAGTGATATTAGGATAAAAAGTGACTGGCTGTATTATCTGAAAACTTATTAAATATAATTGGGAACTTAGAACATAACTGGATTAGTACTTATTATTACCATTATTATTATTACTATTAGAGGCAGGGTCTATCTATGTAGCCTTAGCTGTCATAAAACTCGCTATGTAGACCAGGTTGTCCCCAAACTCAGAGATCCACTGGGATCTGTTTGTCTGTACTATTAGCCAAGCAGTAGTGGTACACACCTTTAGTCCCACCACTCAGGAGACAGAGGCAAGCAGATCTCTAGAAGTCAAGGCTAGTCTGATCTACAGAGCAAGTTCCAGGACAACCAAGGGTACACAGAAAAACCCTGTCTCAAAAAACAAAACAAAACATAAGATGATCTGTATTATCACACCCAGCTCAACATAACTGTATTTTTAAAAGACTGTATAGTATAGAAAAGCCTACTGAAAAGGTCTTTCAGAGTTGGGCAGTGGTGGCGCAGGTGGATCTCTGCGAGTTTGAGCACAGTCTGGTCTACAGAGTTAGTTCCAGGACAGCCATATCTACAAGGAGAAACCCTGTCTTGAAACAACCCCTCAAAAAAAGAAACAAAAGAATGTAGAGGAGGGGCTGGAGAGATGGCTCAGCAGTTAAGGGCACTAGCTGCTCTTCCAGAGAACAGGGGTTCAGTTTCCAGCACCCACATGGCAGCTCACAACTGTCTGTAATTCCAATTCCAGGGGATCTGACATTCTCATATAGACATACATTCAGGCAAAACAAAAATATACATAGACAATAAATAAATCATTAAAAAAAGAAAGGTTTTATAGAGGAAGTACAGTATGGTCTCACTAAGATTAAAAGGACACTTTAGGAGGAAATCACACTTAAAAATGGCACAGAAGGAAACAACAAGGAGTATCTAAGAAAGGTCATATTTGACTTTATTACTTTTAAGTCAAGCAAAAAAGTAAATGCAACAAGGCAAGGGGATCAGCATGATGAACTATGTATGCAATATGCTATTGTTTGTGAAAACACACACACACAGTTGGTCACTTCTTGATGACCCAGTACAGCTGCCTCTTGGGAGGGGAATGGGTCACTTGGGGACAATGGGAGGGATGGTAGTCATACTTAAAATTCTGTGACATGTAAGATGTAACTAATCAATGAAAAGATTTGTTCACCTCAAATAACCACTCTCCCTAGCTGGAGTCTGCTGCCTAGAGCAGAAGGGGTGCTGCTTTCTCCTTCGGCAGCAAGACTGCAGCCCTCCAACCTCCTTAGTGATCATCTATATGCAGGCTGTCAGACACTGCTCCTAAGGTGACATACCTATCTGTCTCATCCAAATAAGGGATCACCTTTCCCAAAAATGATTTGCTGAAGTAAGTTTGTTCTCTTCTATATTAGAAAGCCAATGAATCCATGTATAAATGCAGCAATAGGGCTAGATATGTGTAGCTCAGTGTGGAATATGCAATTAACATATGCAAGGTCCTGGTTTAATTATCAGCACCCAACGAAAAACAAAGCAAAAGAAACCAGAACATACATACTAACTCTTAGACTTATATTCCTAAAGTCAGACAAGCAGGCACCATGCTTGGTGTACGGTGCGATATCACATGCCTCTGGGACAGGTTAAATAGCAGCTACCCTTTGTATACAAAGCACAAAGCAGCACGTAGCTTTTGTGTCCTAGAAGTGGCTGATACAATATACTTTATTGTATTTTGTATTTACTTTGGTTAGCTAGAGATAGGTCACCTGATTTTTCTCAATGATAATGCTCTTTAAATCAAAATACTGAGACACAACTTACTTGTGTTGGTGAAAGCATAAGTTAGAAAATTCTGGTCACTAAGTGCCTTCTTTATTAACACAAAAAGTTACCAGAAACATTCATTATATGGTAAAGACAAGCAGAAATCAAAATTTTATTTTTTTGATGACAGGAAATAAAGTTATAGATTAAAGTACGTAGAGTTCACAATTCTACCTACATAAACACACACACACACACACACACAGACAGAGACAAAGACACTGTAACCATGTTCCAGTTAATCCCTATTAATAAAACAGTAACTGAGGATGAAGCTCAGTGTAGAGAACTCAAGTGGTATATAGAAGGCCCTAGATTCTAGTCCTGTTACAACAACTGAAAGAGAATAGTGCTCCTTTCTGAAACATCTGAGGTAATACAGACTAACACATCTATCTGAACTTCACAGTCAAGTTTCCCTAGGCTCCCCCTTCTAATCCCAAAGAAATCCTCACTGATGGGCTCCACAGAAAAACCTTACCATAGGGCTCTTCTAAAACCCTTTACTGGGTGTAGGATTGCACCCCTTTGGTCCCAGCACTCGGGAGGCAAACACAGGTGGATCTCTATGAGTTCCTGGTCTAAAGAGTGGCGTGGACTGCATGGCAATCACTGTTGCCTGACAAAGTCCCAGCATTTTGACCTTGTGGATCACAATTCTCCAGCACCCTTTTATTTTCATTTTCAATGATTCTCACTATGTACTATGGGGGTTCCCTTATGCCTCTTCCTTTGGGGAATTTTATGCAAGCTTTGAAGGTTGAAAATGTATAAAATGGTAGCCTCTTTAAACAAAATAATTCTTTGGAAAAAATCCTTGCCACCATGGAACAACAGAGTGATAACTCTGCCTACTCCCACACAAGTTAACACCTGCTAGAAAATTTAGATATGTAACTTACGCTGATAAATAATGTTTTTGATAAATAAGATTTGCTTGATAAATAAGGTATATTATATATAATCAAAATTTATAAATTCCTAAGATCTTCTCAGGTTCACAGTAATATTTGTCTAGATTTGTCTTTGCTCATCATTTTAAGCTTTAGCTATTAGGATAAACTAAGCCACATAAAAAATTGTAATATGCTATAATGAAGTGTTTGGTCCCCCAAGAAAGTACTTTTCCCAAGGTCAGGCATTTAGACAAGGACTTGAGGAAAGTTCTTGATGAATAAAAAGGAAGACATCCTAATCTCTGGCAAGAGGAACTTGTGGCCCTTCCATTAACAGCATAATTGGTGTTAGCTAGGCAGTACTGGGAGGCAGAGGTCAGTTTAGTCTACAAATCTAGTTCCAGAACAGCCAGGGCTGTTACACTGAGAAATCCTGTCTTAAAAAACAACAAACAAACAAACAAACAAACAAACAAACCAGAAAAGGAAAGAAGGAAGGAAGGAAGGAAGGAAGGAAGGAAGGAAGGAAGGGAGGGAGGGAAGGAAACAGTAATGGTTTAGAGCATCAGATTTCTCACAGAGGACCAGGGTTCAGTTCCCAGCACACACATTAAGTGGCTTACAACCACCTGGAACTCTAGTTCCAGAGAACCTGATGCCCTCTTTTGGTTTCCATAGGCACCTTCATGCATGCTGTGTACATACAGACACTCATGCACACACAGAAAATAAAACAGAACTTAAACACTGAAATTACTGATCTACTCTACCCACCGGAAAAGACTTAACTTCTCACTGTAGACTGAGCAAGGGGGTCTGACACATGCTATGCAAGTACTCTGTCACTCAACTGTGTGCCCAGTCCTTACCAATGATTCATTAAACACTTCAAGTATATTTCATAACTAATTAGAGAAGGTGATACCTAGAAGTTGTAAACGGTCCTTGGCCATAACCAAATTAGTCATCATTTTGGCTTGAAGGCGTCTAGCTCTTTCACATTGTTCACCTAAATGGAAAAAAAAAAAAGAAAGGAAGAATTAGTTAAAGCATCTACATTTCCCTACTAACAGTGTTTCAAGGTAAGTATTGCTTTAAGTATTGCTTCAATTACCTTCATGGAGAATCAAAATCTTTCCTAATAAAGAAATTAAACGTTGGCATAGTGTCTCACATGTATAATCCCAGGACTTGGATACCAAGTCAAGTTCTATGTCAGTCAGGATATATAATAAGTTTCAGGTCAACCTGGGCGACAGAGTGAGACCCTTGTCTCGAAAAGGGCAAGGAGGAAAGGGGTGAGGAAGGGAGGGAGGGATAGAGGAAGGGAATGCTTTTGCTAGGCAAAGTAAAGAACATCTGAAATCTTAGGTGAACTCGGGAGGCTGAGGCAGAAGGATAATGAAGTCAAAACCAGTCTGGAATATAGTGTGAACCTGGCTTAAATATGTATGTATATTACACATAGACATATTCATGGTTCCTAATGATGGCTTCAAATCTACTGCAGTGTCATGGATTTCACACATATTTCATGGAACCCATGACATTTTCCCTCACACTTCAGTCTTTGAACTGATCCTAGTGAGGTGGCTCAGTGGGTAGAGCTGCTTACTGAGCAAGCTTGTCAAGCTGAGTTCAAGTCCCAGAACCCAAAGTACAAGTCAGAACTGACTCCGAAACTTGTCCTGTGACTTCCACTCACACCCACACCCACTCACACCCACACCTTATACACATATATAAACAAGTAACAAAAAGCAAAAACCTTTGAGCTGGGATATGATGTCACCTGTGCCAACTTACTATCATCAGGCTACAGTCACACTTTGTCACTGCCTGTGCATGAGCAAATCTGTCAGATGCTAATGTTATGATGTCTATGAAAGGCACACATTCTATTCCATAAAATCAGAACTTAAATGCTAAGGGTGAAAAGAAAACACACTTTGAGGGATTTTTTTCTTAAATAAAAGGCATTTTGAATCTAACATTTCTTTATGGAATTGACAAAAAACTGCATATATTTACATTTTTAATTCATAAAGTCATGGTCATCAACGCCTCAAAGACCCAACCACTCACATTCATTTTATTGTTTCTTTTTAAACTGACTTTTGCAACACTTGATTTAAATCCAGAGCATCATCAAAATTAGGCAAATGCTCTACTGCTAATCAATTCAAATTCTGCTTGTTTATATAAAAGACCAGCTGAGTGTGGTGGCTCATACCTTTATTCCAAGCACTCAGGAGACAGAGGCAGATCTTTGAGTTTGAGGCCAGTCTGGTCTACATACTGAAGTCTAGGCCAGTCAATGCTACATGGTGAGACCCTGTCTCAAACAACAACTAAATAATTAAATTTTAAAAATGGAGAGAAGCACTTGATGGTGGTGGTGCACACCTTTAATTCCAGCACTTTGGGAGACAGGTGGATCTCTGTGAGCTCAAGGTCAGCCTGGTCTACATATGGAGTCCCAGGACAGTCTCTTAAACTACAGAGAAACCCCGTTTCAAAACACAAACAAACAAAAAACAAAAATAGACACAAAAATGGAGGGGGCTGAAGCGATTGCTCAGAGGTTAAGAAGCACTGGCTGCTCTTCCAGGGGTCCTGAGTTCAATTCCTAGCAATCACATGTGGCTCACAATCATCTATAAGGAGATGTGATGCTCTTCTGACCTGTAGGAATATATGTAGGCAAAATACTATATACATAATAAAAAATAAATAAATCTTTTTAAAAAATAGAGAGAAGCGATGGCAGTGCACACCTATAAACCCAGAGCTTGTCAGGCCAGGAGTTGAAGGCCAGCTGGAGTGATTATACCACCAGGTTTGTGTAGATATATCATGGTGATGTTAACAGCGAGGAAATCACCTAACGATTCATCAGAATGTGTTCCCACTGCTAAGCACAACTGTACTTGATTTGACATTAAAGCTCACATGGTACACTAAAGTCATAACACTTTTAAAAATTCAGGGGCCGGAGAGATGGCTCAGAGATTAAGTGCACTAAGTGCTCTTTTAGAAAACCCAGGTTCTATTCCTAGCACCAACATGTAGGCTAACACCTATCTGTAATTCCAGTAGCAGGGGATCTAATTCCCTCCTCTGGCCTCTGTAAGTACCAGGCACATACGTGGTACATAGCATACATACTGGCAAAATCCATACACATAAAATAAAAATAAAATAAACCTAAAAAAAAAAAAAGCCAGGAGTGGTAGCACACACCTTGATCCAATGCTTGATCTCAAGGCAGAGGCAGGAGAATCTCGAGTTTGAGGCCAACCTGGTCTACAGAACTAGTTCCAGGACAGTCAGGGCTACACAGAAAAACCCTGTCTTGAAAAACCAAAAAAAAAAAAAAAAAAAAAAAACCAGAAAGAAGAAGGAGAAAAAAAAGGGGGGGGGTGTTGATATCTGATGGCCTGGGTACAAATCCCAACTTTCTCACTTGCTAACCAAGAAACTTTAGTTGAGCTACATCTCTGTACTTCAAGTTTCTCATCTGAAAAATAAGGCTAATAACAGTAGCTGCAAAGCATAGAGTCATGGTAAAAATGAGATGCTCTCCATTAGGCACTTCCAGTGACTACTGGGAGCTAGTAAGTAGACAACAAATGTTTTCACTATAGTTACACAGACGGTAGCCTCTAATTTTACCTGTTTTCTTTCTTTTTTGGGGGGTGGGGGTTGAGACAGGGTTTCTCTGTAGCTTTGGAGCCTGTCCTGGAACTAGCTAGCTCTTATAAACCAAGCTGGCTTTGAACTCACAGAGATCCGCCTGCCTCTGCCTCCCGAGTGGTGGGAGGTGCCCTCTTCTGACCTGTAGGCATAAGTGCAGGCAGAATACAATACATAATAAATAATCTTTTAAAAATAAACAAAATTTAAAAAAAAAGAAAGGCTGGAGAGATGGCTCAGTGAATAAGAGCACTGGCTGATCTTCCAGAGGCCCCAGCATCAATTCCCAGCACTCACAAGGCAGTTCACAACTGTTTGTAACTCCAGTTATAAGAGATCCAACACACTCATACAGACATACATGCAGGCAAAACCATTAATGCACATGAAATAAAAATAATTTACAACAAACAAAATGCAATGACATCAAGAAATAAAATGCATTTACTAAGTAAATAGATCTTAAAAGGGGGTAAATATGTAAATTCAGTCACCAACCCCCTTCTGCAAATCTGCTTTCAGAACTCTCAGTTACCTGTGCTCACCTACAGTGCAAAATAATTAAATGGAGAATTAAAAAAAATAAACAAGTTATAGATGTCAAACTGTGTGATATTAATTAAATTTCACCTTTACCTAATCTATCCCAACCACATCATGACTCTTCCGTTTGCCCAAAATATCCATATGTGCTGCTGCCCAGGAGTCACTCAGAAGACATCCTGATTATTAGTATTAGTATAGTCTCTAGGGCTTGACAGCATCACGTTCAGTCCACGAGAAGCCCTGGAGGGAGGAACTACAGTAGAATTTGAGGTAGCAATAGAAATTGCATATAACCTACCTTGGCCTGTTACTATAACAGCGATTCCTTTTTCTAGTTCTTCAATACCCTTCTTGTACCATTCCACAGCTTGTTCCTTCTGTCCTGCTTTAAAAATAGAAATCATTTTTTGAATATATCATGAGTACAAAAAAAGGTAGCATCCACTGCCAAGTATCATATACATGAAAAGGTTGTGATCAAATAAGTGTAAGAAACATTATACGTATACATAATAAAATAAAAATTTCCATATCATTCTTCATTTGAATTTTCAAAATAAAACTTAATAATAAATGCTGTGATCACAAAATAGAAGTCTTTAAAAAAAAAGATTTACTTATTTAGTATGTGGGTATTCTGCTTGCAGCACCAGAAGAGAGCCCCAGATCTCATTACAGATGGTTGGGAGCCACCATGTGGTTGCTGGGAATTGAACTCAGAATCTTTGGAAGAGCAGTCAGTGCTCTTAACCTCTGAGTCACCTCTCCAGCCTGAATGAAGTCTTTTTATAGACACCATATAACAACTAAGAAATGTGTATTCTCTATTCCCCCAGAATCTCCCCCTTTTAAGATAGGTTTTATATAGTTCTGGCTGTCCTAGAACTATGTAGATCAGGCTGGCCTTGAACCCAGAGATATGACTGCTTCTGCCTCCAGAGAGCTGGGATTAAAGGCGTATACCACCACTCCTACCTTTCATTTACTTTTGTGTGTGCGTGTATGTGCAGATGGAAGACAGAGGCTGATGTCCATGCCTTCTATTGCTCTCCACCTTATTTATCATCTCATGGGGTGGGGCATGGGTGCATGGGTCACATGACATGTGGAGGGCAAAGGACAACTTGGGGTAGTCAGTTCCCTAACTGTGACCTTTACATGGGTTTGGAGAATCAAGCAGGTTGCAGGCTTGTGAACAAGAGTTTTTACCTATTGAGCCATCTCACTAGACCCTCTCCTTATTTTGTGAGGCAGCAGCTTTCATTTCACCTGGAGCTTACTGTTTTGGTTAGGAGGGCCTGGTCAGAGAGCCCTGGGAGCCACAAGTCTCTAAGAACTCCAGTGTTGTGAGATTCCCCCTGTATGCTGTATTATCACAGGTTAATAAAGAAGCTGCTTTGGCCTATGGCAGAGCTGAATGCAGGGAGAAAGAAGGCGGAGTCAGGCAGACACCACATAGGCTCCCAAGAAGCAAGATGTGAGGTAACAAACCACAAGTCTTGTGGTAAAATATAAAGTAATAGAAACGGGATAATTTAAGATGTAAGAGCTGGCTAGAAATATGCCTGAGCCGTCGGCCAAACAGTGTTGTAATTAATAGAGTTTTTGTGTGACTATTTGGGTCTAGGTGGCCAGGAAACAAAAGCACAGTCTCCATAAATGCACCCAACATTCAGCAATGTACATTCACATAAAGCCTAAAAAAGCTTTAAAAAAAAAAAAAAGGAGAGGGGGTTTCTAGACCCACAAAAAGGGAGGCAACTGGAGCTTCTTGGTAGCTGTATTTTTTTAGATAGGCTCTGTTTGCTGTTTGCAAGCAGCATGGCTTCTTTTAATATACAGTTTCCTGGTTCTTACTGGCACCTTGAATAGCTCTGGTTCTTTTGGGAGGTCCTGTTACAGAGCACTTAATTGGGGTTTGTGAGCAGAGTGCTACAAGTTGTTTTATGGTGATACAGACCCGCTCTGGGACTGCTAGGTAGGAACCGTACCCACCATCTCAAGTCTGGGAAGCAGTTGGCCCATGTTGCCACCAAGTAACTTGCAGCATGCTGCCCACAAATCCCATTCAAGTGCTTGGCCTCCTGAAAGAGCCAGAGCTGTTTGTGCAACTAGCACAAACCAGGAATCCTTCTTAAAGGAGCTGCGCAGTTTTTGCTGCTACCATTGAGTCAGGAAGCCTTCCCTTAAATGAATCGTGCCTCTGCTTGCTTCTAGCAAACAAAGCCCACCTGAGAAAATGCTGCTACCATGAAGCTGTGCTTAACTCTGTTTGTGTGTGTATTTGTGTGTGTGTGTGTGTGTGTGTGTGTGTGTGTGTGTGTATGTCTAGAATTCCTTCCCAAGCTCTCTCAGGTTTTATGTTGATGTAGTGAGCCCACGTTGGCATGTCATTTTGTACATGGAGACTGCTCATTCATCTCTGGGCCACTCAGACTCAAATAATCACACAGAAACTATATTCATTACAACACTGTTTGGCCAATGGCTCTAGCATATTCCTAGCTAGCTCTTACATCTTGAAGTAACCCATTTGTATTAATCTATGTATCGGCACAAGGCTGTGACTTACTAGTAAGGATCCAGCATCTGTCTCCTCATGGCTGCCTAACACCACCTACTCTCTCTATATATCTCTGTTCAGATTTCCTGTCTGGCTTGACCCTACTAAGCCACTGGACAAAACAACTTCTTTAATAACCAATGGTAAGGAACAATCCCTGAGAACTTAGACAACAATATGGACACTAAGATATAATCTACATGAGAAGTAGAAAGTAGAAAAAGACAAGATCTCCTGAGTAAACTGGGAGCATGGGGACCTTGGGCGAGGATTGAAGGGGGAAGGGAAGAGGCAGGAAAGGGAACAGAGAAAAATATAGAGCTCAATAAATATCATGGGTTCTGAGGGTAAAAAAAAATAAAAATAAATAAATAAAAAGACAAAAAAAACCCAATGGTAATGAAACATATTCATAGCATACAGAGGGGAATCCCACATCATGTTTTTATTCGCGTCTGGGTGGCTGGGAAATGAAAGCACAATCTTCCTTTACACTTGAGCGCTGGGGTAACAGAGATGCCCACCACACCTGGCTTTTACCAGGGTGATGGAGACCTGAAGTCAGGTCCTCATGTTGTTTAGCAAGCATTTACCCACTGAGCCAGCTCCACAGCCCTACTATTTTTTTAAAAAAAAATTCATACATGAAATTGCTATGGTATTAAATATATAATATATACACATTTATGTATCCATTACATATGTTCATATATGTATGTATATATACATATGTAATATATATATATTACATTCATTACCTGGTAATTTAGCTATTTTCTATATTAAAAGTTATCAAGCTGGGCACTGGTGGTGCATGCCTTTAATCCCAGCACTCCGGAGGCAGAGGCCATGAACCTCTGTGAGTATGAGGCCAGCCTGGTCTATATCTTCAGAGCAAGTTCCAGAACAGTCAGAACTGGTGTAGGAGGTCCTTCTGTTTGTGTGTTGCTTTCATTGGTTGAATAAAGAGACTGCCTTGGCCTTTTGATAGGGCGGAACTTAGGTGGGCAGAGTAGACAGAACAGAATGCTGGGAAGAAGGGCAGAGTGGCAGACGCCATGAAGCTCCTACCTGAAACTGATGCTGGACAGAATCTTTCCCGGTAAGCCACGACCTTGTGGTGTTACAGATTGGTAGAAATGGGCCAATGGGAAATTAGAGCTAATGGGCCAGACAGTAATTTAATTAATACAGTTTCTGTGTGATTATTTCAGGTATAAGCTAGCGGGGCGGCCAGGACAAACAAAGGGCCCCCGCTCCCAACTACATAGAACTCACAAAACAAATAAATAAAAAATTTTACTTAGGTACTTTAAAAATTGTTTTAACAGATAGTGAACAACTGGGAACATAGAGCTCAGTGGTGGAGTGCTAGTCCCTAGCACTACACAGAAAGGTAAGATACTGTAAGAAAAGGTACTAGAGCTGCAGAGTTGGTCAGGGGTTGTAGAGAACCAGAGTTCGAGTCCCAGCACCCACAAGGTAGCTCACAGTTGACTGTTACTCCTGTTCAAGAGATGTAATACCCTCTTATAATTTCTTCGAGTACCAGGCATACATGTGGTATACATCCATACTTATAAGCAAACACTCAGACGCAAAGAATAGAAAAAAAAAAGCTTAAAATGTTCCAAAACATACTGAAAAATTAAGGGCTAGCCTGGAGCTCAGTGGTTAACATGTTCAAGGCGCTGAGTTCAATCTCTACCTCTCTCCCCAAAAAGATACCAAGCATGTTGCCAGCTTTTTTTTTTTTAAATTTCAAATAGTGCTGTGGTGAACACTGTATCCCCAGCACCCATCTGCAGCGTCTCTGCTGTACACTGAACAAGTGAAACCACGGGCTGTCACTTTTCTCCACTCGCCACATGAGCTAACTCTTAAGAGGGTTGTTCTAACTATATACGCTTATTATTATTTACATTTTTATTACATTTATTTGTTTTGTGTGTACTGTATGCATGTGGCTGTGCACCTGCCACAGCAACCATGTAGAGGCCAGAGGACAACTACCAGTCAATTCTCTGCACTACGTAGGGCCTGGATACCCAACCCAGGTCATTAAGCTTGCTGGCAGGTACCTTTACCTACTAAACTATCTTGCTGAACCCTTTTTACTTTTTTAATTTTAGTCTTTACTATTTTAAATTAAGTGGCTGTAAGTAAGTGCATTTGAATGCAAATGCCTGCAGAGGTCAGAGATGTCAGATGCCCTGGAGCTGGAGTTACAGGTGGATGTGAGCCAACTGAACCTGGGTCTGGAAGAGAGCAGTGTATTCTTAATTGCTAAGCCATCTCACCGACCCCCTACCCTTTGTGTGTGTTTGTGTGTGTGTGGTATTGGAATTGAACCCAGGGCTTTGGGTTAGTGCTAGGCAAGCACTTTAACACTAAGCTATATCCCCAAGCCAAAACTATGCTTGGTTTTTTTTTTAATCTTTTTATGGTTTTTTGTTTGTTTTTTTTTGTTTTATTTTGTTTTTCTTTTTTTTCTTTTTTTTTAATATTTATTTATTTGTTTATTGTGCATACAGTATTCTGTCTGCAGGCCAGAAGAGGACACCAGGCTTCATTACAGATGGTTGTGAGCCACCATGTGGTTGCTGGGAATTGAACTCAGGACCTTTGGAAGAGCAGGCAATGCTCTTAACCGCTGAGCCATCTCTCCAGCCCCTTTATTTTGTTTTTCGAGACAGGGTTTCTCTGTGGCTTTGGAGTCTGTCCTGGAATTAGGTCTTGTAGCCCAGGCTGGTCTCAAACTCACAGAGATCTGCCTGCCTCTGCCTCCCGAGTGCTGGGATTAAAGGCATGAGCCACCA